CGAAAGGTGTTTGAACCCGAAACCTTGGTTCGTGCCGACCATGAATCAAACCTGCAACCTTTTGGTGTACAGGACGTTGCTCTAACCAATTGAGCCACCAGCCAGGGCAGTACCTTTATTTGTTTTTATTTGTTTGTTTGTTTGTTTATTTTCTTTATTGATTTTAGAGAAGAAGGGAGAGGGAGAAAGAGATAGAAGCATCAATGAGAGAGAACGTCGATTGGCCGCCTCCTGCATGCCCCCCACTGGGGATTTGGCCCACAACCTGGGCATGTGCCCTGATCGGGAATCGAATTGGCCACCTCTTGATGTTTGGGTCAATGCTCAACCACTGAGCCATACTGGTTGGGCCAGCACTTTTATTTATTGTGTACATATTATGTAATCTGTCCTTCACTGAGTAACTGTACACTGTGCACTTTATCAGCGACAGCATAGAATATCAACTTAATTTTTCAGATATGCTTCAGAGCCTTGTTGGACAGCAGAATGCCCGTCATGGTATAATAAAAATATTCAATGCGCTGCAAGAAACAAGAGCCAATAAGCATCTGCTATATGTGAGTAATTTAAAGCCTACCACAGGTTTAACTGTTTATTTAATTTTACATCTCTGTTCACATATGCAGGTAGATTTTAATTCTTTATATTCTTAACCAATCCTATTCCTTGTACCTCTGAACCCATTTTCTCTGCTTTGTTTTTGTTTGTCTGCCTGTTAAATGTGGTTGGAAAGAAGAAGAGTACCCCTCCCTGGTGGGTGCACCGTTCTCATTCTCTGACACCACCTGCCTCTCCTGCCTTCTGCTGTCTGTAACATGACTGCTCGGCTCCCTTATTCTGCAAAGCAGACTGTGTCCCGTCCTCTGATTAGAGGTGGCAGTACTAAATATTGCTGATGGTGTGGTGTTGGTTAACAGACCACAAAATAACCATGAATTACATTTCCTTGACAGTAACTTGTTCACTGAGAATAATCTCAGACCTAAAGTTAGCCTTTCCTCCTAAATGTAGATATTTGAGTAAACCCTTAGAGAAAAACACACATTTTCCTCTCCTTTCCCCTTCTTTCTTGGTTCAGGTGCTGATGGAGCTGCTTCTGGTCGAGCTGTGTCCTGAGCTGCGAGCTCACATGGATCCGCTGAGAGCGGGCCAGGTCTGAGTCTGCGCAGGCCCGTCAGCAGGGGGCGTCTGCGGTAGCAGACACGGGAAGAGTCCTCTCCCCACAGGGGCGGGGCCGAGAGCGGTCGTCCAGCTGCCGCCCTGTGCCTGGTAGCAAGCGGAGCCGCTGCTGGTCGCCGCTGGGTTCGTTTAGTGAGAATATGAGTACTTCACAGTCGAGATATAAATGTTAATGTGATAACCTAGGAAATATTATAAATATTTATGAAAAGTTTGTTTTAAAATGAAGAACTGTGAATATTGTACAGTTAATTGCCTCACTGAGGATTTTGAACATTCCTATATTCATGTGTATTGAAGAACATTGTTGTGCAATGCTTTATGTAAAGTTATTGTGAAAATTTGTCTTTATTTTTACCAAAGATTTCCCATAGTTTGAAGCATTTGAAGCAATAAAATATAAAAATGAAGCATAGAGCTCTGTGATGTTTCAGACGCTTATATCTCAAAAAACACAAGTTGAAACACTTCAGGAAGGTCAAGTATTTACCAAGTGCCCTTTTTTGTAGAAAATGCTGTGCATGTAAGTACTTCTGCAGGGAAATAGAAAGTGTGCTGCCTTTCCTCCAGACACAGAAAGAACATGTGAAGACTGTGACGATGGATGTGAATGAGGAGAGAGGAGCCAAGTTAGTCCTTAAAAAGATGCAGCAGCGAGGCGGGATGTGAGCCGAACTGAAGACGGGCAGGAGCGAGACAGGGAACAGGAAGAGGAGGGCCCGAAGGTACTGCAGGGGCTGCAGGACATGATTCCATCGCGGGGTCCTAGGGACCCGGAGGGCATTCGGGGAGGTCCCGCGTACAGGTGTTGGTTTACTGTGAATAGTGGCCCCACTGTTAATGGACAACTCACTCACCTTCTATTATGCAATGATAATAAAACACTTTCCCCTCTAACCTCCAAGAATATTGAAAGCAAAACAGTTAGTAGGCAGAAATTCAGTTTGAAATCCATGAAAGAATACTATATATATATTAAAGTGGTATTGATTATATCATTGATAGATCATATGTGCCAAGTTCTTGATGTGAATCATAACTTCTGAAAGATAAACGATTAAGAGTTAGTAAACAAATTTTATCTTTGGGATTCTTATAGTTTCAGCTCTTTGACATTTATGAGACCAGGATGATATTTGACCCTTCAGATAAAAACCAAAGATGGCTGTTTGTATGGATAAGAATTATCCTTCATAGGTATGTAGAAAAGACATTCAGAGAAGAAACACAGTGTGACGTCACCAAGCCCCAGAACTCATTGTAACAGTTCCTGAAAATGTCCATCTTATGCATAATTTAACTATAGCTGTTAAATTTATACCGCAAATGAGAAAACTATATGGACCCCGCAATCTTTCTTTAATCTTCCATGCATTCTAATATTTTTTGAAAAGGGCTCATGATGATCCAGAAGCCTCATCTCACTGAGTGAAGACTGACTGACCCATCGCAGGTCATGTGCGCGGCACGGCGAGCAGCAGTGGTCGCTTGCAGGGCTGGCCTCCTCCAGGCACCAGCTTGGGGGCATCTACGGAAACTGTCATTCTGTGTTGGAGTCACTGAAGACATTTAAGCATAGCACCCAACCACAAACAACACTTCCAAATACCTACGTTTAGGATTTCTGAGGCTTAAGTTTTATTTTACTTATTTTTTAGTTATTTGCACATGAAGGAGTTTATTGTTTGTCACCGACTAGAGAGCAAGCAGACAGGCAGAGTACAAAGACCAGTTAAAAAGCAAGTGTGGTGAGGTGCAGGGTACAGCCGCTTCAACCTGTGTTTTAATGGCAGTTAAAAAGTCATCTTTACTTTGGGGATGAAGAAAGATAGAAAATCTATTAAATGTGCTATTAATATACACTGTTTTATTGCATTCCCGTTGGAAATTCTTAAAGAAGGGCTTAAGGAACTGGAGTAATGGAGACGAGAACACTGGGTGTGGACTGGGGTCTTCAGGTGCTTGAAGGAGTGTTACAGGAATGGGATCACAAGAGCAAGAGCAAAGCAAGTGGGTTTGTACTGTAGAAAGAGGTCAAGTCAGATATTATGAAATCTTGTAATGGCTTGAGATAGTGAATGAAACGTGTTACTGGAGAAGAGAGAGTCTTCAATAGAGATTTTCAAAGAAAACGGGTGGTTTAAGTTTATAATATTTGAGATTTAAGGGAGAGGCATATGACCAGTTGAGGGAATGTCAGAAAATTCTTTTGAAATTTCTTTTTTTCTATATAAAGACAGAATGAAGTTCAAGTCTTATAGACAAACCAGAACAGAAAACAAAGGCAAGGTCATCTTCCGCCGCCATCCTTCTTTAGTGACCGGCCCCTGTGTCCTGATTGCATTTTCCCACTACTGACATATCTCCTTTAAATTCACTTTCAGAAAGGATGGTTGTGGTTTTTAAAATAAAGCAACATTAGTTTAGTGTTACAAAGAAGATATTAAGGTACGTTTAAGACATCATTTTCAATGTTTTTATTTCAGGTGTATACCACTATAGTCTTCTGCAAATGAATTCTTATATTTTTCTGTCAATTTTTGCCTTCCTTGATGTCACTGATTAAAAGAAAGCCTCTTTTAATTTAATTTTCAACCATGTTTAGTTATAGTTCTGTATTTATGATGTCATTGGGATTTTTGTCACATTTTATCTTGCTTTGAAATACTAAATTTAGGGTTTTTTTAATGTAGAAAATGAAGTACAAAGAAAACATCTTGCTTTAATTGATTGTCTTATCAGGAACACAGCAGGTGCTTCACTAATTAAGATATTTAAGGGAAGATATGGAGGGGCAAGATTCTAAGCAATTTCTTAAACCTATAAATCAGCCAAATTAATTATTTACACGAATCTCTTGACAATACTAGAAGTCCCAGAAGACTTAGCGCAGTCTTAGCTTTAGTAACTTCAGAAGCAGAAGTGCTACACCAGTTAAAAGCAGCGCATTCACAATGGAGTACTATGCAGCTATAAGAAAGAAAGATCTCTTATCCTTTGAGATGACATGAAGGGACCTGGAAAGTATTATCCTAAGTGAAACAAGCCAAGCAGAGAAAGACAAATATCGTATGATCTCACTTATTTGTGGAATATAATGAACATAACAGTCTGAAGAACAGAGTAGACCCAGAGACATGGAAGCAGGGTACAGACTGACAATCCCCAGAAGAGGGGGTGTGGGGGGAGATAAACCACAGAACTTATATGCACGTACGCATGAATAATGGACATGGACACCAAAGCTGGGGACGGCGGGGAGGGAAGGAGAGGAGGGTGTCAGTGGGGAAAAAAGGAGAATCAGCTGTGACAAAAATAAATAATATAAAAGCATATTCTTTGAAAGTTCCTTTAATTTTTTTTATTTCTTATTTATGTTTGTGAATTTTAAAAAGTTTAAGTAACAAGTTAAAATGACAAATTTATTCAAAATTCATATATAAAATTTTTGTAAGTTGTAGCATTTATACTTCTGAAATTATTAAAATGAAGGCTGCACTAAGTCTCTTGGGACACTGTATTTAAAGAAGAGGAAAAGATATTTACTTTATGGAATGGTTTTCAGTATTTGATGTGGTCTAGGCTAGACTGTAGGCTAAAGAGCTAGATTTCTGAGGACTCATACAGCAATCAATCTAATCCTGTAGCTACATTTCATGTTGCAGACTTACAACATACAAATTAAAGAATGAAGGTAACATGTCACCAGAAAATACCCAACATAATGAGATGCAGAAAATAACCAAATGTAGCTATTATAAAAATACACACATTTTAAGGTGCTAGGATGAACGATCTTTGTTGAAATACACTATGGTCTAAATTCTTTGATGAATAAGTAACGAGTGAAGTTCATCTGCCAATTCAGGATTCAGACGACAAGCCTTAAAATCAAAGACAGTCAGTTATTTAGATATATTCTGAATTGTTGGTTCTTTTTTCCTTTTGAATAATTTTTGGTTGTTTTTAAGAATAGTAAAATGCAATGACTTTCAAGGGAGTTTCTTAATTAAGATACACATGTATTCTGATTTCTTAATTAGGGACGTTTAAGTTAGCTTACATAAAAAAGATAATACTAAAATATTCATGCTCGTATCATTTGAAAGAAAATTTATCAGTGTCAAGATTAAAGGAAATTTATGCACTGATAATAGCATTTCTATGATATGTATTATTAAAATGAGTAATATGGAAAGTATTAACATTTGGCCTCAAACTTGTTATTATCTCATTTTAAGAATAGCAGCATCTATAATAATCTTATTTTAAAGTATATAGTTTTATTATGATTAAAGTAGATAGTGATAACGTAGTAGTGCATGATTGCATAGAATGTCAAGGATTGGGATGAGATAGATGTCAGAGGTTATTTTATCCGAACTTCACTCCATGCAGAAATTGTCCCTTCAGGACCCATGATGGTCACTAGATTTTTGCTTAGTTGCTTCTAGTGGCAAGAAGTCACCAGCTTATAGGAAAAACGTTTTTTATTTCCTGAACAGTTATATTAGAAGATTCTTCATTATATTAAGCGAAGAATTCCCTCTGTGTACGTTCGAATGGTTGAAGGGTCTTACAATAACATATCATGCTGATTTCGTAGAAACCCCAAGAGGCAACGTGGTTGGCAGTCACCTAGCCTGATGGAGACGGAGCTGAGACCATGGGAGACCAGGGTCTCCGGACTTCAGACCCATGGTCTCCTCGCCATCCAGGGCCTTACCTTCCCATAATGCACTGCCTGGCTATAATTCTGCTCCCTCCCCCACAGTTCTTTTCTCTCAGACAGCCTTTCATTGGTGAAGACCACTATCAGGACCCCTTGTGTCCCTTCTCTCTGAATAAAATACTCAGTTTCTCTTATCGTGCTTTTTATGACAGGATTTCAGACCAGACCCTTCACTGACTTGCTACAGCTGAATCCCCTTCATTTTAAAAGTATCTCCCACAAAACGCAATGGCCAAAATTGAGTAATGGGGCCATTATCTCCCAACACGTGGAAACTTGTTCTGAGATTACAAGTTGTTTTTCACGGTTTTACTTAGGATAAACATGTACCACAATTCAGGACATTTCTGACCCAGAGTTTTCTCCACTTACATGTATTTAGAAAAAATACTAAGGAAAGCGTACAATCTGAAATTGAGCTGGCTTGGAAATTGGTGCGATACAGCGAACATTTAGATTTTAAAGAAGTTAAAGACAACTATCATATGAACAGAATGGTGTAGTGATAAGTATCTCAGAGGTTGGTTGTGTTTGTGTGCTGCGTTTCTACATAATTTAGGGTTCCCAAACTTGCCTGCCAAGTTCCCCAAACATGGAATCCAAGGAGCTCCAGTTCACGGGGTCCCACTGGCGGAGCTCGGGACTGAGCTGTTCGGAAATGAGGCCTGGGCTTTGGAACTTTTGCAAGATCCCCAGGTGACTTTGCTACCACTGCCGTCAGTCAGATTCAGGCAGCGTTTCGGGATCAGTTCCCTGACTTGTTCCCTGCTCAAGCGGAACATCTGTGCACTCCACGGATTGCTTTATACACTTCATGTCACCCATGGATATCATCGACCTCAGGTGTGCACAGTTTGTTTTATTCTTTTTTTTATCCTCACCTGAGGATATGTGTTTATTGATTTGAGAGAAAGAAACATCAATCTGCTGCCTCCCAACTGTGCGCCAACTGGGGACAGAACCTACAACCTTTGGCATAGGGACGGTGCTCTTACCAGCAGAGCCACCAGCTAGGGCTGGTGTTTCTGTGAACTACTCACTTGTAGTTACTCTTCATAATTATCCCCCTTCTCCCACCTCTCCCCACTTCTAACAGTTGTTTGACTTTTAGATGTGAAATCCATTGGGATTTGAATAAATTAATCACATGGATTAAAACATGAAAAGGCTTATTTTAACTGGTTACCTCAAACTCATGAATATTCCTCCTCAGTGGGGCAGATGTCATGTATAAGGAACTTTTTTAAAAACTACATTTCGTGCCCTGGCCAGTTTGGCTCAGCGGATAGAGCATCGGCCCGCAGTCCAGAGAGATCCAGAATCGGTTCCCGCAAAGGGCACGTACCTCGGTTGCAGTTTGTCCCCGGCCCTGGTTGGGGTCGTGTGGGTGGCAGCCAGTCGATGTGTCTCTCTCACGTTGATGTTTCTCTCTCTGTGTTCCTCTCTCCCTCTCGCTCTATCTGAAGATGAATGCAAAAATGTCCTTGGGTGAGGATTAAAACACAAACACAAATACTCCATTTCGTTAAGGTACCTGAATGAGGATACAGGTTCACACTTTTTCTGGGTGAAAGGAGACTTGAACATTCTGGCTTAAAGGTCGGTGCTAGGCCTTAGGCTGCAGACAGTAGCAGAGTGAGAGAAAATGACATAGGACTTTTTAAATTTTTTTTATCCTCACTCGAGGACATTTTTCCACTTTTTGTTCACATAGAGTAGGAGGGAGAGAGAGAAACATTGATGTGAAAGGGACACACTGAGTGGCTGCCACCCACATAACCCAACCAGGGCCGGGGACAAACTGCAACTGAGGTATATGCCCTTATCGGGAACCAAACCCGGATCTCTCTGGACCGCAGGCCGACGCTCTAACTGCTGAGCCAAACCGGCCAGGGCGACACAGCACTTTTTTTTTTTTTTTTTTTTTTATCCTCACCCGAGGACATATTTTTGATATTTTGTTCAGATAGAGTGAGAGGGAGAGAGAGAGAGAAAAACATCGATGTGAAAGGGACACATCGAGTGGTTGCCACCCACACGACCCAACCGGGGCCAGGGACAAACTGCAACCGAGGTACGTGCCCTTAGCGGGAACCGAACCCGGGTCTCTCCGGACTGCAGGTCGACGCTCTAACCACTGAGCAAAACCGGCCAGGGCGAGAATTTTCAATCATGCTAATAAGAACCTGACAGAAACGTCTGCAAACATGTAGCAACCTCTCCATAGACAGAGGTTATTTGTATAATAACTAAGGAGGAAAAAAACACTAATCCCTAAAGACAGTCCAGTCTCAACTAAAAGCCCAGCCATTTCTGAGTCACTGATGTTTGTTCTCAGGCTAGCTTACCTTAGAGTAATAGTGCTTAGCCATCGCTTCATCCTTTGTGATCCCCAAGCCAAGCTGAAGGCACCGTGCGTAGTAGAAAGAGGCCATGGCCATGCCTCTGCTGATGAACTCCGGGAGACAGTCCGTGACCTGGGCTATCGTGGGGATGTCATGGACCTCATCGTAGTCGGCAATCCTGTTATGAAGGTAAATTGTAAAATGAAAAGGATTTCAGTTATGGTTTGCATTTTCACAAGCAACATGTCCAGAAATTGTCCTTGTGCCCAGAATGATTTCCCCACGTCCAGCTGTTTGAGTGCTAACTAATTGTGTGGTGAAGGGTAAACAAGACAGTTAATACCAGAAGAGTGGCTGCTTCAGAGCTCCCTAGTGATTATACTCATCGGGCTTAACCTAGAAAACACAAGAAAGGTTTTCTTGTAATATTAATATTTTAAATTTAATATCACTGTAGATTTTAACAATGGAGAAGAAAGTATTTTCTATTTCTTTGGATCATTTATTTAAACATTGACTTTAAATTTGGACTCTAATCACATAAGACCAGAAAACATTAAAAACTTGCACACCTATCTTTGGTAAAAAAAAAAAAGGGGGGGGGGGCAATGAAAAGAACTCATTCTGTGTAACCCAGACGCAGATCTGGGGAACTGTGTGGAAGTGAGGTCTAGTCAAGTTCATGTAACCCTAATGCTATGGGAATAGGAATGTGGACAGGCAGGTAAAACTTCAGACATTTTAAGAACTTTGTAAAGTCTTTGTTTTAATCAAATGGGCACTTGGAGATTCGGGACACTGGAGATCACACCTGTATGTGACCTGCTGCCTGGAACCAGTATGTGGGAGAGGAGGAGGCAGAAGCATCTTTGCCCTCCACTGTCCCTGGCTGCCTCACCCGGGGCTAGGAGGGAGGGGCGCCCATGTGCACTGTAGGAAGGGCCGTATTGGAGGGAAACACGGCAGAGTAGGCTTAGAGCCACGCTAGAGAACATCCACAGCTGTTTTCCCTGGCATGTTGCTTTTTTTGTTGTTAATCCTCACCCAAGGATATTTTTGCATTTTTAGGTAGAGTGAAAGGGAGGGCAGGGGAGAGAGAGAAACATCTGTGTGAGAGAGACGCATTGATTGATTGCCTCCTGCATGACCCCTGCTGACGGGACTGGGGATCCAAGCTGTAACCCAGGTACGTGCCCTTCCTTGCCCAGGAATTGAACCCTTCGGTCTGTGGGCTGATGCTCTAACCACTGAGCAAACCAGCCAGGGCCTGGCATGTTGCTTTGGTTCATGATGGGCGAGTAAACACAGGAAAGTACATGGGCTAAGAGATAAAGAATTTCCATGTTTTACAGACATTTTCAAATATTTTATCAGATGTTAGTGTTGGAGTTTTTAAATCATTTTTCTCATTTTACAGCCCTCATCAAGCTATATTGCAGTTGTGTATTTATAGAACCATGGCTAAGGGTGTAGGAAGAAATGGATTTAATATTTAATATACATTTCTAATATGCCAGGCTATGCTAAGTACTTTGTATACACTATTTTCATAATCTGGAGAAGTATTTTCTTGTAAATAAAGCAATTGATGCACCCAGAAGTTAAGAAACTTCTTAAGCTCACTCAGCTGGTATACAGAGCGAACAGCACTGAAATGCTGGAGACCAGTGGCAGAGAGCTGCGCATCTGATCTGATATGGCAGCCACCAGCGACACGTGGCTGCATAATTAATCAGACCAGTGAGGTTTCAAGCTCAGCCTCAGTCACACTGGCCACACTGGAGTGCTCAGCAGCCGTCCTTCACCACACCGCAGCAGTTTCTACCACAAAACTGGCTCAACGGCCAGTGAGTGCTTCTGTTCATACTTTCATCCAACTTATTTACCTTTTGGAAAATGCAACACACTTCGTAAAGAATTTCATGTTATAGTAATACTCCACGAGATTCCCTTGAGCGTAGACATTCCCACGTTCCGCGGCTTCCTTTAAGCATTGCAGGGCAGCCTCTGTATCCTGGCGGATGCCTTGTCCGTAGAAGTACATGAGCCCCAGTGCACCCTGGGACTCCAGGTTTCCGTTGCCGCATGCTTCTGAATGCCAGTAAAATGCCTTTACAAAAGCAGTTTCCTCTTGTTACTCACAAGGCGAAATTACAAGGGAATACCAGAAAGAAAAATGTCTTTAGTGATAAGATAGTACTGTTAATTCTTCTCTAGGAAATAGTTCTAGCCCTTTGAAGGTATTTCAGGCCAGCACCAATTTCACATGCCTTAAAGAGAAAGTGTAGGGTGAGCCCACCTAGTGTCTACCCTGCAGCGCAGCTGAGTCACGGCTTAGAGTTCAGCTGTCTCAGGTTTCAGGAGTTTCAGATTTTCCACAGGAAGGATCAAGGAAGTGGGAAATAGGAGCCGAGTGTCTGCAAGGCCTTGAGACACACCCGCTCCTAGGCACAGCGGGGAGAGCAGTGGAAGGCAGGGAAGGCAGACTCCACGTGGACCTGAGGCGGAGCCTTCGGCATCAAAGGCAGCCAAGGAAAAAGGCTGCATGCAGGCCCAAGCACATTTGATCAGTACTCAGCTACCGTGAATGAATTAGCTCAAGAAGCTATTTCCAAGTGGCTGGTCAGTTGTCCAAGGAGGGCCTCAAGCTGTTAGTAGCCTCTTACAAGTAGGACTGGGCCCTACATTTCCTGTCCCCTGTAAGAGTTCTTGGAAAACATTTCAGCCCCTGATGATGAAAGAGATCATGTTTCGGGAAAAATCCTAACTGGATTTAATTTTCTATTCGTTCTTAGTATATTTTACTTGTTAGTATCATTGTTACTTCCTCAAATCAAATATAATCATATATTCGCACTGAAAAGGGTTTGGGCTTTATTTCAGGGAATAACAGTTTGTATGTGTAGCTTTTCACAGCATGCAAAATGCCCTCACATCCATGGTCCCCTTTGGTAGAGGCAGGGAAGGTAGCATTCAGAGATGAATAAAGGATGAAATGAGCTTTGAAATTTTAAATTTTAAACTTTCTTTACATTTTAAAGACATATAAGAGATTCAAAACCGTTCATTCCTCTCCACCCTTCTTTTAAAAAAGGCGAAACAATCTAGAGGGAATGCTAACATCAAACGACAGATCAGGTTACCTTGTCCAGCTCTTTGGGCTCCTTGCTTGAATAATACAGCCCGAGGATGCTTTGAGCCTTCACGCTGGCCTTTGGATTCCCATGGTCTGCAGCGAAAAGCCACAGCCTGGAAGAGAAAGACAGGGCAAGTCGTCTGTCACTTGTTTCAGCATTTGATTAAAGCGAAAGCTCGTTCTCAGGTGAGATTACCTCTCAGCTTCCTCGGTTGATCGTTGAACGCCTTTCCCTTCATAATAAGCTCTTCCAAGGTTGTAAGCAGCTGCGAAATGTAAGTGTCTTGTTTTGGGACATGGAGAATCAACTATTTTCTTCATATATTCCACTCCTTTTTCCTTCCACAAAGGAAAAGAACAAACAAAAAACCCTAGTTTTCAGTTTTACCCAAACTAAATCCCTCCTCCCACTAATGCTGCAAGGTGCTCACCCTCTGTCCTAGTGCCCGACTCTACGCCCAGCACTGTGGTCCTGGGTCTGCGTGCTGGGGATAGGTCACAGGACATCTGGGTGGGCATTCCTAGCTCGGGGGTATAAGGCAGTTCCCTCACTCAGCAGCTTCCAGAGTTGCATTACAACATCTCAATGTAGTCTCCTTTTTTCTCTCCTTCCTCCCAACTTCTAGGCCTTATTCTGAAAATGCACAGTTCTTGGAATTGATCATAGTGCAAAAGTAACTGACACTTTCACTAATTCTCACAGTAACTGTGAGCGTCAAACAAATGCTGCCCTCTCACTCCTCCCTGCGTGTGCCCGTCATAATGTACATCCAATATGCTCATCTTCATGTGACAGCCACATAGTCGCAGAGGGTGCAGAAGGAGACAGTCTAACCACCGACAACACAGAGCTTGCGCCCTCCACAAATCCATCAGGCACAGGCCTTGAAACACCCCAAAGGGAAGAATACTTGACAATCAAACACGTGTTTATATCCTGCAATACGCCCTCGCTGCTTTCTCAGGCTGCTGTTGGCTACGTTCCACAGTGATAGATGAGATAATGAAGGTGGACTTTTCACGAGCCCCAGGGATATGGGTTTATTCTTGTGAATGTATGTGGCAGGTGTCTGCCATCTCCCCCCAGCTGGACGGGAAGGACTTCATGGTAGTCAGTCGAGTGCAGTGCTTGTGCACATCCTCCCAGGGACAGACCGACATGGTTGCTCCTCCCTGCTGCTCAGTTCTTAGTTCAAGTGTCGGATAAAAGGATGGGATCACACGGGGAGGAAAACTAATCCCAGGGCCAGTCTTCAGCGTCATGTTAGAGGGAGACCAATGACCAGGACACTGATAGAACTAGAAAAGCAATGAGCCGGTATGAACCTAGAGGCAGGTACTTTGTGCCGGGGTGGAAGGTGAGTCGGGGAATGAGGAGAACACCGGCCCCACTGTTGAGCACTGTGGATGCTGGAAGGAGAGATTGCCACCGGAGGGGGCTGCTTGTGGGACAGTCAAGTTTCTGATGAGGGAAGGAAATGAAGGCAGTTGTCTGAGAAAAGGCTGAGGATGCGGGGCTCTGTGTGCCAGCTGGAAGGAGACACAAAGCAATGAGTCAAGGACGTGTGTGAGAAGACGGGTCACCAGACAGACAGACGTTTTCTGTGGTGGCCAATAGGATCCAGCTGTGAAGCTTGGTGGGCCCAAGTGAAGTCAAGGTACCGCATGGAATTCCCGTGTCACATTGATAGTCACGGTGGTTTGGCCTCGTGATGCCCAGTGAAGGCCCAGCAGATGGCAGCACTGAGGCGGATAGCAAACGTGGGGCCTGGGTGAGGGTCTGGAATGGCAGTTACTGGTGTGGAAACTAAAGACTACCAGTGAATGGCCAACTAGCTGACTGTCCATGGGAACAGCCCCTTTCTTTCAATCCTCAACATGGAAGTCTTTGAACAAGTTTCTTTTTTCTTTTTTAATCCTCACCTGAGAACATTTTTGCATTTATCTTCAGAGAGGGTTCAAGGGAGAGAGGAAGGGAGAGAGAGAGAGAGAAACGTGGATGTGAGAGAGATACATCGAGTGGTTGCCACCCACACGACCCAAACAGGGCCGGGGACAAACTGCAACCAAGGTACGTGCCCTTAGCGGGAACCGAACCTGGATCTTCTGCAGGCCGACGCTCTAACCACCAGCCAGGGCCTTTGAACAAGTTTTTAAAGATGGACAGAACATGATCAGATTTGGATTTTGAAAAGATGGCTTTGGTGGCTGTAGGAATGAACTAGGGACACGAGCAGAAGTTAGAGGATGTGCTTTTGTTTTAACCCCACTAGGGAGCCTGAACTGAGACAGGGACTAAAGGGCTGGAGACAGACTCGAAAGACACTCAGGAGGCAGAGGAGGTCGGTGCGAGCGTGGAAAATGGTTTGTTTCTGCTTGTGAAAGGACTCAACTTTAAGTGGCTACTCCTGTGTTGTAAGGAAACAGTTCCTAGTACTGTCTTTGTTTTTTTTTAATTTTAAGGTTTTTATTATGAATAAATATAAGTTTTATGAAACTTTCAATACATACGGAAACCATCACGGTTTCTTTCATTCAGGCTATTAAAGTGGTATATTATAGTCATAGATTTCCTTATGTTGAATTATTAAATTGCTGGGCTAAATCTTACTTGGTTATTCTATTTTATTCTTTTAGTGGATTATTGATTTTGTTGGTAGCAGGGCAAATATTACCCTAACAGCTGCCACCGTAATTTTCCTTGGAGAGGTGTGGTCTTTAGGAAAGTTCCAGGCCACCAGCTAGCCAGTAAACACTGCGGCGGCTCCCCTGTCCTGAACTCCTGGGGAATTCCGCAGTGAAGAAGATGGACAGCCCTGGCCGATTTGGCTCAGCGGTTAGTGTGTCAGCCTGCGGTCCACAGAGACCTGGGTTCGGTTCCCGCTAAGGGCATGTACCTTGGCTGCAGTTTGTCCCCGGCCCTGGTTGGGTTGTGTGGGTGGCGGCCACTCGATGTGTCCCTTTCACATCGATGTTTCTCTCTCTCTCTCTCTCCCTTCCACTCTATCTGAATAAAAAATGGAAAAATGTCCTCTGGTGAGGATAAAAAAAAAAGAAGATGGACAAACACCCCTAACTAGGGAGAAAGAAGTTAAGCAGTAACACATGATTGAGATAATCTCACGTCTGTGAAGAACATGAAGGGGGCTTTAATGACGTGGCCACAGAAAACCTTTCAGCGGAAGTACACCCGAACAGTGACCTGCGGGCACGGAGGGCAGACGAACAGGTGACTAAGCTGCATGTGGGAGAAAATGGGGTACGTTTAGTTTTGGGCCCGTGAAGGAGAGGGTGAGGGAGGAGACACGAAAGGGGAGGGTGGGGTAGGAAGAGCACTCAGCAGGTCTGTGAAGAGGCCGGGAGGGGGCAGCCACTGCGAAGTCCTCACAGAGCAAGCAGAGTGCCTGAGAAGCACGTCCAGGCGGTTCCCGTGCAGACCCCGGGACGGGCCTCTGCAACACGCTCCACCCCAGCAGAAGCAACGCTACAAGCAAGAGTCTTGTTTTATGAGATTAGCAAGGGTGACAGACCATGACCTATGCCAGGGCAGGGATAAAGGTCCAGCCACAATGATGAAGAGTATGGAGTAAGAATTTGGCAAGAAGAAAAGAGAGGTGACTGTGAGAACATAAACCATCTGAATATTTTAGATCCATTTTGAAACTCTTTAATTATTTAAGTCTTATGGAATGAGTGGAGTTATCACACAACTTATTTTTTTTTGCATGGGGCAATACATGAAAGACTATACTTTAAAATGATAATAACAATGTTTATATTTGATAACAGAATTTGGAGTGATCCTATTTTTTACTTTTTTTCCAGCTTTTTACCATGTTCTTGTAGCTTTGGAATAACTTCTAGAAATACAGACAAGACCCGGCTGGTGTGGCTCAGTGGTTGAGCGTCAACCCATGCACCAAGAGGTTGCTGGTTTGATTCCCAGTCAGGGTACATGCCCAGGTTGTGGGCCAAATCCCCAGTGGGGGGCATGCAGGAGGTGGCCAGTCAATGTTCTCTCTCATCAATGTTTCTATCTCTCTCTCCCTCTCCTTTCCCCTCTCTCTAAAATCAATAAAGAAAAACAAAAAACAAAAACCCAGGAAAGTGCCCTGGCCAGTGTGCTCAGTGGTTAGAGCGGCAACCTTGCACTGAGGGGTTGCAGGTTCAAACCCTTGCACTGAGGGGTTGCAGGTTCAAACTCAGGCCCTGGTTGGGGCATGTGTCGGAAGCAACCAATCGATGTGTCTCTCTCACATTGACGTTCTCTTTCTCTCTCTTTCACCCCTCCCTCTCTCCTTCCCTCCCTCCCACTCTCTCTAAAAACCAATGGGAAAAACATATCCTTGGGTGAGAAATAACAAACAAACAAACAAAAAACATGAAAACATATTAAAGAGAAAATTACTGACATCTAATGGTAGCAAGGAGAAGGGACAAAAAAATTTTTTCACACAAATGTAAAAATGACTACTGCTATCTTTTAAATGCTCAAAGGTTAGAGATTATTGAACTATAAGGATAGACATATATTATTAAAATGTAAATAATTTTAATCGTATCAGATAACCCATTAACTGTGACTCTTAAACACTGTGAACAAATCCATAACTTACAGCATTTGCAGCTGTCCCCAGCCCATCATAGTACATTACTCCCAGCTGGTAAGTTGCTTGATGATCCTGTTCCTTGATTTCTTCAAACTGTTCTAATGCTTCTTCATACCATCCCTGCAAGCTCCCAGGAAATACTGAATTATTTTTACTATCTTAAAATAGGCCTAGTTATTTAATCCCCACCTAAACCTACCTAGTAGCGCCAAATAAATAATAGAAGACAGCTACAAATTTATGGAATTTGCAAGTCACGGACAACAATCCATATACTATCAAGTCAATTAAATAGACCTGAATGTGGCCACTGAGGGAACTGAGCTGCAGGAATTCAGGTAAGGTTCTTTTAGGCTTTCACTCTCATTCTTGGCTGTGGCCAATCCTCTCTGGAAACGCTGGCCTGGCCCCCTGCTCAGTCCAGCCTGCCACATCCCCCGCCACTCCTGAAATTTGAGAAATTTCAAAGCCTCAGAGAAAATCTGGACATCGGGATATTCACTCTTACTAAACATCCACTATTTTTATGGCTCATGTCCTTCAGTTTTGCAGTTTTCCAGCTATGGAGAAGACAGAGAAAAACAAATGCGTGATTCTCTAAAATTAACTTTCTCCCGTACTTCCTATAAAAACCTGCATGTGATGCAGCATCGATTTAAGGCTCCTCGGCAGTTAGACAATCTGGTAACAAACATTCTGGTAACAAATATACTAAGGTGTAAGGGACTAATGTGGGGTTTTACATCTTAATCCCCCATGAAAATGCCTCACTACAGTATGAATCATTTGCAATGGTAGGAAGAGAGTCTATTACCGAATTGGAAGGTCATTATTAGGAAGAGCAGGCCAGAGAAAAGCAACTTTTGGAAAACACAAAAATAATTGAATTGCTCTTTTCATAAACTGTAATTAATCAACAAGTTGATAAAAATGAACAAAAAACCACCAAAATCCTAACATATTTTAAAGAATACATAACAGTGAGTAAATGATGAGTTGCCGAGACTCATGTTCCTTTCTGGCCAGTGTTGGCTTATCTGTGAGAGGGCTGGACAAGTTAGAATATACAGAGGAAAGGTAAGAAAATTCTTTTAGTTTTTATGATTTTACACACCATACACATGCTGGAAGGTCCTGAATATACACCTTCAACCCAAACTTCTCCTTTGAGAATGTGTCAGTTTCTACTTTGAAATCTGTCTACTTGGATGACTAATGGGCATTTCAAACATAACATCCAAAAACTGAATTCTTGATCATCACCTCAAAACTCTTCCCCACGTCTCTAGTTTTCAGTCCATTATGCTATTATTTGTGTCTCCAAAATAAATCCAGGAGCCAGCTCCACTGCTAACTTGGTCAAGACCACCATGCTCTCTTGCCTAACCTTGTGTAGTTTCATCCTAAACTGCTCTCAATTCTATGCTTGCCTTCTAATCCATTCATTACAGACTCAAAACACTTCGGTGATATTTCACTACATTTTAAACAAAGCTCATCTAGAGCCATTCTCTGCCTTGCTTATTACCACCCTGTCTCTTGTAGGGTCCCAGAGCCCACGAGCTCTTTCTCGTCTCCGAAACGGTCCATTTGCTCTGCTTCTACCTGGAATGTGCTTCCGCTGGCTGTTGCTTGGCCTGTTTCCTTTCCCGCACATTTGGTTTCAACAACAGGTCTTTCCACCCTATCCCGAAGTTATTCTCTATCATTGGATGCAGTTCATTCCTTTCATAGTACTTTCCCTTATTTTAATTATATATATACTAATTTACTTTCTTCCCCTACTAGCCTGTAAACTTTATGAAATGGAGACCATTTTGATTACCTCTTCACTTTATCGTTGTGCCTAGCACAATAATACCAGAGCTTTATAAAGCACTTGTTAGGTGCCAGGCTCTGTGTTACAATTAGTGCACCCTCACAATAGCTCTAGGAGACACACATTACACCCCCCCTTTATAGATGAGAAAACAGGCATCTAGAGGTTAAGTAGTTGTGCCCAAGGATAATCACTTAAGCAATAGGACCATATTTGACCCTACACCCAAGCTAAGAGATCCTTCTCTTAACTATTAAGCTGGGCTAACCTGATAGTGACGAGGGCATGATGAGACCTCAACAAATACTTGTTGCCAGAATCAATGAAGGAGCCATCAAAAGATTAGTAAGTGGGGTATAGGTGAATAGTTGCCCAAATATTCAATAGATGGTGAGGGATTAGGGACAGCTGGTCCCTTTCATATCTTCTGTTGGGTTCAATGAGGAACTGAAGGTATATCACTGACGCCAGAATGATCGTCTGCAGTCCCTCCTACACCTACTGGTAGAGGACTTCAGCGTATTGCGGATAGAGGGCAGTCCCCTCCTAACTCTGCAGACGGACATATAAGCTACCTTTCAGTTTGAGATAAGAATCAGCATCTTCAATTACTATTAACATGAAAATATTTTATAGATGATATTCAATATTTTAGGCAATAATATAAACATTAGATTTTTAGTCTATAGTGTAAGAATGGATTTTATACCAAAGTGTCTCCTATAAATGACTTTCATTAGAATGACTTCTATGGAGAAAGGTCAGCTACCTCCTTAAGCTGATACAAGTGTATCACACGTGAAGCCACAACCATAACCTATGGAATCTGACAGAATTCTCTGATATTACAATGTAAGGAACTGTACAAGAAATTTCACTATGAGGATCTACAGCAGCATTATGTGAAATGAAAACAAAGACCGATACCTCTTCAAAATACAGTTGACCCCGTAGGAAATATGCCATAGCATCCCCTCTTCTTATTCTTTCCTGCAAGAGCTGCAATGCTTTATCCACCAAATGAGCATGGTTGTAATGATCTGATTTAAGAAAGGTAAAGAATTCCATCTGTAACCACACAATAGAACCTCCTCTCTTCAAGTCATCAAGTATACAGAATTCATCTGACTCTGTTTATATTGGTTTCCTTCCTATTTCTCACTCCTTAACTAAAGGAGAAAGTATTATCATAGGCCCTGACATGCCTTGTACAATCAAGAAATATTTGTTAACTTGGTTTTCAGTCACCCAGTTCACTACTAGGCGGGAGCTGTAGCAAGCAGTCTCTGTGCAATTCTTCGGGCAAGGCCGTCCTATGAGTGAGTGAAATTCTTAACTTGAGGCTTACAGCTACTCTAACCAAATGAGCTAAGCATCCCCAATTTAATTTTTTAAAAGACTAGAAAAATGGTAGCTTTAAAGGCCAATGTCAAGTAAAATGTGGCATTGTTCTCCTTAATAGAAGTGACACCTTTTCCAGAAGAGAGTCCTAAACCTTTGAGTGTCAAGTCAGGATTGGGCTCTATGGAACTTCTCTACTGATGATCTGCCACCCGATGAGTTAAATCGCAAGTTCAAATATTCTTACAGGAAAGCGAGAAAGGACTGTCAAGTTAACCTCTTCCTTGACAGCAGTAAGATTCGTATTTCTTGCCTCTTTTTTCTCTGGTGTACAGATTAACTTTCAGTGAAAATATTATCAGGGCATATACCAGTCTTCCCCTTTGTCCACTGGAAGAAGTGTGGGTTCCTGGCAGCATACTGGGATAGAGAGATATACAAGGGGTCCTTGGGCAACTTTTCACTGGTCAACTCCATCCTGTTTCCACAATGTGTTTTCTGTAAACAAACATAAAAAATAAGGTAGACATATCTTCCTCCAGAAAAATGTGGAGACACTATCCCCACTTGGCACTCATTGTGAAAAAGCACCCCCCCCCCCCACATCGGCTAGGGATAGGGCACCAAACTGCCAGCCCTGGGTTGTGAATATTCCTTCTTAGGACACCAAGGCTCTTTGGAGCTGTAAGAAGAAGCACAACCACCCTCCATGTCTGTTTCCAGACAATAGGATTAATGATGAGAGCTCTTTGCAAATCCTTTCTATGAATTTACATGTTGTAAAGGGTCATGTCATCCGCCACAGCTGCTGCCACTAATAGGATTTGGTGGCACTGCCCCTGGATATAGTTCTTGTGCACTGGTACCTTCCCACTGCCCTGTATCCAAATCTCATCAGGCTAATCCATTTCACACTCAAGCATTTGTTTTACCTGGGATTCCACTTTATTTTAGCTGTGTTCAGTTTCATCTTCCTGTCGGTAGGGAATTGCCATGTTAGAAGATGGATGGTGGTTAAATGGAAAACCAGAGCCTTCATATAAAATGTAGAGGCCACCTCGTGCGATGAAGGAGTGCAGGTTGGCCCAGGCTGAGGGTAGTGGACAGCAACCTCAGTTGTTGCTGTGCTCTTTTGTTTACTCCTCCGCATTCTATTGTTACCGCCGCCTGTCACCAATCAGCAGCAAGCTGCCAGTCACGGTTCCTGAGTGCTGGGGAAGGGAACTCAGCAGACCTTCAGTGTGATTGGAAAGCTTCATTTATACAATTATATGACACTATTTTGTATAATAAATTGCTTCATGAATGAGAATGAAGTGCAGAAAACGAAGAGAATTCAGTATATTGGGGCCATGGCGGTGGGGGTGGGGAATCACTAAGTTATTTGTGATTTTGAAAGAGTCACTTAGTATTTTAAGAGTCAATTGCCCTATCTGTAGTTTGGTTTATAAGTAGTTTGAACTAGAGAGAGGATTTAAAACTGTCCTAGATACATAAAATTTTTTGATACTATGATTTCAAAAATATTATGGTTGCATTAGTGAATATAAAAGTTTCCAATGAGCCCTGGCTGGTTTGTCTTAGTGGTTAGAGCATCGGTCCGCAGACCAGAGAGTCCCAGGTTCGGTTCCTGCTAAGGGCACGTACCTCGGTTGCAGTTTGTCCCTGGCCCTGGTGGGGGTTGTGTGAGTGGTGACCACTCGATGTGTATCTCTCACATCGATGTTTCTCTCTCTCTTCCTTCCTCTCTCCCTCCTGCTCTATCTGAAGATAAATGCAAAAATGTCCTCAGGTAAGGATAAAAAAAAAAAAAAGTTTCCAATGGCTTCAGGGTGAAATGATATTACTAGGTGAAGTATTTGGAAGAAACACATCCAAATGGGATGATGTAGGCAGCACTCAGAAACTGGCATAGACATTTTTATTTCAGGGAAGGCTTTCAGGGTGCTACTGTCTGCAAAAGGAAAACACTTGGCATGTTCACCTCACAAGGTCATCGGAAATGAAACCAGAGAACAATACCATGTGGTCACAACACTGCACACGCTTTGGGCTGCTGTGGCTCACAAGACTTGGAAAGGGTCTTGAAATGTAAACAAAGATTTACTGAGCTCTTTCCAAATGCCAGGTATTGTTCTTTGTTCAAAGCGCTTTACAGGCACTAAGTCCTAGAAAACGTTATGAAATAGGGGCTATTATGAGGCCCATTTAACATACGTGGAAACGGAGACGCAATGAAGAAGTACTTGCCTGAGGTCATAGGCCTGGACAGCAGATGCCCCAGCACCTGAGCACTTCATCATTGCTCTACACTGCTCTCCGAAAAGCAAAACTATTGTGAGTTTTTAAAATGGCAGAACTCCTGCAAGAGGGTAAGCCAAAATGTAGTACTTTTTAATGTCAGAAAATGAGAACTAAGAGATTTTAAAAAGCAAGGGTATGTGTTTATTTCTGCCAAATCTTGGGATTAGAAAGAAAATCATCATTGAAACTTGATGTTTGCATAATAGGCAGTACATTTAGAAAAGTATGTACTATAAACTGTAGTCATTAATTGATGATATAAAATCTGAAAGATTTTAAAAGAAAGGGCAGTGGAGTGGACGCTGATGGTGCCCCTCAGGTCCTCTTTCCTCCTTCGTGCCCCATGTCCAGCTGCTGTGAATGGTAAGTGAACACGTGGTCACCCATCACCAATATCTAATTCCAGGACATTTTCATCGCTCTAAAAAAAAACCCTGTAGACATTAGCAGTCACTGCCCAATCTCTCCGTCCCTTCAGCCACGGGCAATCACTAATCTTTCTGTCTCCATAGGCTTGCCTATCCTGGACATTTCATATATAGTGAATGAAATCACACAATATGTGGTCTTTTGTGTCTGGCTTCTTTCACTTAGCATAATGTTTACAAGGTTCATGCATGTCGTGATATGTATCAATACTTCATTGCTTTTTATGGCCCCCAAATGTTTCATTATATGGATATATCACATTAAAATATCTTCATCATTTGATGAACATTTGGGTTGTTTCCAGCTTTTGGCAATTATGAATAATGCTGGTGGTTTTTGGGTACTAATGTTTGTGTGGACGTATGCTTATAGTTGTCGTGCGTATGTATCTGGAAGTAAAATTGCTGGGTCATGTGGTAATTCTATGTTTCAGATTTTGAGAAATTACAAATGTTTTTCAAAGTGGCTGCGCTATCCAGCCAGTGTGGCTCAGTGGTTGAGCATCAACCCATGCAGCAAGAGATTGCTGGTTCAATTCCTGGTCAGGGCACATGCCCAGGTTGTGGGCCAGATCCCCAGTGGGGGGCATGCAGGAGGCGGCCAACTGATGTTCTTTCTCATTGATGTTTCTATCTCTCTCTCCCTCTTTCTTCCTCTCTCTCTAAAATCAATAAAGAAAAAAAAAGCATCAAAGTACTGCACCATTTTACATTCCCACCAGTAATGTATGAGGGTTCCACATCCTCATTAACGTCTATTATTGTTGTTCATTTTTTAAAGAATAGCCATCCTAGTGGATGTGAAGTCATATCTTGGGGTTTGATTTGCACTTCTTTAATGAAAAACAATGTCGAGCATCTTTTATGTGCTTATTGTCCATTTTTAAATTCTCTTTGGAGAAATGTCTATTCAAATCCTTTGCCCATTGGTAGTTGGGTTATGTGCCTTTTGTTGAGTTAAAAGAGTTCTTTAAATATTCTAGATACTAGATTCTTATTATACAATTTGCAAATATTTTCTGCCATTCTGCTGGAGTCTTTTCACTCTCTTGATAGTTTCTTTTGACCACTCAACTTTTTAATTTTGATGAAGTCCAATTAAAACAAAACATTATCAAATGCTTTATTGTAATTTTTTCTTTTTTTAAAAACCACTTTATTATGGTGTGACTGACATATAAAAAGCTGTACATTCTTAATGTATACAACCTGGTTAAGTTGAAGATAAATATACACCCATGAAACCATCACCACAATCAATGTCTGATATATTCATCACCTCTGAAAGTTTCCGTCCGTCTGTCTATCTGTCTGTCTATCTATCTATCTATCTATCTATCTATCTATCTATCTATCTGAACACTAAACATATGACCTACTCTCCTAGCAAGTTTTTATGTATAAAATACAACATTGTTAACTATGGGCACTGTACTGACAGTTGATCTCTAAGACTTATTCATCTTGTATAAAGGAAACTTTATCTTCTGTTGAAGACCTCCCTATTTTCCCCTCTCCCCAGCCCCTTGTAACCACCATGCTATTCTCTGCTTCTATGAGTGTGACTATTTTAGATTCCTCATATAAGTGGGATCATGTTATAGTTGTTCTTCTGTGTCTGGCTTATTTCACTTAGCGTAATGCTTTCCAGGTTCATTCATGTTATCACAAATGGCAGGATTCTCACTCTCTTTTTAAGACTGAATGATATTCCATTTGTGTAAATGCCACATTTTCTTTATTCGTCCACTGATGAGCGTTTAGGTTGCTTACATGTTCTTGGTGGAATTGAGAGCAAAGGTGCGATGCTAAATGCACACACAGCCTTCTGGTTTGCCTGGAGACAGGTGCTAGTGGACATGCAAATGAAATCCTCTTGTTAGCTCCAATGTAAATGTAGTGTAGAACTATTTCTTCCCATCTTTTACAGTTAATTTATCCTCATCTACTCTGAAAGCATTTTTATTAGTGACTTGATGATTTTGAAAGCATTTGATTTAGTTTTCCTAAAAATTACAGCTGTCACTTCTCACTCCTATTTTGCCGGTTACATAATGTGCAATTATGTCCTATATTGCAATATTCCTTATAGATGTGGGAAAACGTTCAAGCTGATGTAAACCCAAGTAACTGAGCATTCTAGACAACAGCCTGATAAGACCTTCCGGTGATCAATACAACGGGCAATGTGTTTAGGAGAGGAACTGAAGTATATTGGTTAATCAGAACAACAATTTAAGTACATACTGGTTGTGAGACCTATCTGAGATTTTTGTTCCTTGTTTGGTTAAAACTAGCTTCACACTAATTTAGGTATCTCCTGTCATTATTATATATGGAAAGACAGCTTACTTAAAAGTGAAACTAAATGAATAAACAAAAACTTCTTTAACAGCTATGGCCTAGAGAAAGAAATAGAATGCATAATGGTTTAATTTTAAATCATGTCAAGTCTTTTCTAGAATAAACATTATGTTTTAGGACAATTTTAGATTCACAGGAAAGTTACAAAGATAGTAGAGTTCCCTCACCTGGTCTCCTCTTTTCTTAATGTTACATTATTAGGGTCCATTAGTCACAACTAAGAAACCAAAATGGGCACACTGCCATGGACTAAACCCTACACTTTATTTGGATTTCACTAGTTTTTCCACTAATGTCCTTTTTTTTTGTTCCAGGATCCCATCCAAGTTACCACACTACCTTGAGTCATCCTGTCTCCTGGCCTCCTCTGGTCTGTAACTGGTTCTGAGATTTTCCTTGTTT